GGGAAGATAACCGTTATTGTTTATTGACATGCTCGATTCATTCTTGTCTAATGCAATCTCCAAGGGTAGTTTTGAGAAGCGCCTCATTCAAATCCCTTATAGGGTAGAAAAGAGCTAATGGCTGCCATTCTATAATCACACATTTTGAAAACGTAACACATCGAATTTAAAAATTAGCCTAATAAATAGTCGAAAACACGATATATTTCAAGAAGTGATCATACTCCAGAGCATAAGCATATTTTGTTTGCTTTTTCAGAAAAATTGTCAAGTTGATCGACACTAATGGTGACGGGATGGTCACAAAAGATGAACTGAAAAAGTGGATATCAGAAGTTGCAGTAAAGGTGAGGGAAAATGAGGCTAAACAGCAATGGGCCCATGTGAATCGTGAAGAGTCACTAGAAATCGATTGGGAGGTTTACTCGCTGAACGCATTCGGACCAGAAGAAGGTAAAAAAATAAATATTTTAAATACATTCTGACTTAACCAAGCAAATGTGCGATGCGTAGACCATGAGTTAATACGGAGAAAGGGCTGGTAGTCAGCTTTCTAGTTAATCGTCCCAACAAGCCATTTCGGTTAAAAGGTTAATCAAAATATACACCAAAATAGTCAAAATCCGATGCGTTTGTGGTGTAGAGTAACATATAGTAGCATTATTACAATAAGTAGCAACAAAATAGTAACAGAAACCTTTTTAAACAAAGCCCGAGCAGAGGATACTGAAAATATAAAGCAATATCTGAAGGTGATTAGGAGAGATAAACGCAGATGGGAGGCTGCAGATTTAGACGGAAACGGAAGGCTGAATCGGGAAGAATTCTCGGACTTCGTGCGAGCAGAAGACAGGCCACACATGCTAGATGCGCTAGTTGAGGTAAGAACACGGATTTAGATAATCATTTTTAGGAAACTGTGGAATCAATGGACAACGATGGAGACGGCCAGATATCACTTGATGAGTACATAGGTAGGTCGGATAAAGATAACTAATGATTGATGAAAAGCTGACGTGGCGAGGTCGCTTGGTGAACAAAATGGCAACGAGAGCAATAATGACTGGCAAAAGCGATTCAGGGAAGAGTACACATCATACAGGGACAAGAACAAAGACGGGCATCTTGACAAAGATGAAATAAAAGATTGGATATGGCCAAAGGGTTACGACCCAATCGAAGCAGAGGCGCAGCATCTTATGTTTTATGCGGACTCAGACAAGGTGATTGCAGTAGTTTTGTGCATTTCTAAATTGGCTAGCTAATCGTTTTTTAATCATTACAGGATGAGAAGTTGACGGTAGAGGAAGTAATTGATAAGTACGACCTGTTCGTCGGGAGCCAAGCAACGAACTACGGAAGGTCTCTCGAGAAGGAGGAGTTATGAGAAATAAGTAATAAACAATGCGAGCAATTTGAATTTTCTGCGATGCTAAGAGGGAGGAATCAAAGTAGACAACCAATTTGTGGCCCTGAATAGGGCCTTGCGAGCGTTCTCGAAGCAAGTCTAGACGTCAATTGACAGGACTAGCCTCCAAAGCCGTACAGCGTGCGGCCTTGGCGCTTGAGGGCATAGACGACGTCCATTGCGGTGACGGTCTTTCGTTTAGCATGCTCGGTATATGTTACAGCATCGCGAATAACATTCTCAAGAAAGACCTTGAGCACGCCCCTGGTTTCTTCATAGATGAGCCCGGAGATGCGCTTAACGCCACCACGGCGTGCGAGACGCCTAATTGCAGGCTTGGTGATACCTTGAATGTTATCTCGTAGGACTTTGCGATGGCGCTTAGCACCACCCTTTCCAAGACCCTTTCCACCTTTTCCGCGGCCAGACATGTTAGCGAGAAACTCAACTCAAGCACAGTCACTTAGATATTTAAGCGTAGTCAGCCGCACGAATAAAAATCAGAACTAACCAATAGAAATTAAGTAAATGATTAATTTAAACAAATTTTTAATCTTTTAGTTAAAATATTATACAAATAGTTTAAGGATATTTAATTAACTATTTTTTAATTAACCTTTTGGAAAATTTATATTTTTATTTAATTTTCTGAGGAATACGTCTATTTCTTTTTCCATTACACTCCCGCCTGATTCGAATGCAAAAATATCAAATGTATGCGCCTAATTCGGATGAATGAAGTAAAAGTCAACTTACAAGCTGGACAGTTACATAAGTTGTTTAGGAATGCTCAGATAGATAGAATTACCTTCGAACACCCGTGTTTACAATAAATTTGCAAGCGTATATTGTTGTGTAACCAAAACTTGAGGAACTACCTTCGTGTACAACCATTTTGGTGGCCATGAAAAGGGCCGTCATACGTTCACTAGCACGAACTACCATCTGGTGGCCCTACTTCTCCGCCTTTTCAGTTTTTTTCGGGAGTAGGACCGCCTGGATATTGGGCAACACGCCACCCTGGGCAATTGTCACCCCACCAAGCAGCTTATTTAGCTCCTCGTCGTTGCGAATCGCGAGTTGGAGATGCCTGGGTATGATGCGAGTCTTTTTATTGTCGCGGGCAGCGTTCCCAGCTAGCTCAAGCACCTCAGCGGCGAGGTACTCTAGGATATCCGCAAGGTAAACGGGGGCGCCTGCCCCAACACGCTCGGCATAATTCCCTTTTCTCTGGAGCCTGTGGACTCTCCTAACAGGGAACTGTAGCCCAGCTCTAGCTGACCTTCTCTTAGTCTTTGAACGAGACTTCCCACCTTTACCACGCCCAGACATTTCGACAGAGGGCGCGACAGAGATATGGCTAGTTGAACGCTGGTGAAGTTCCATGCTTTTAGTATATATACATAATACCTTGAGCCTATCGCTGTCATCCACACATATTTGCTAGATTTTATTGGAATGGCCATTAAGAAAGGCAGCAGTTGATTGGATATAGAAGACAGACCAACCAATCAGCATGAGCAACCTGGCACAGCCATTCTCTTTGTTCTTGAACATCCATTTGTGGCACGGTAGCCTGTCCACACGGGTTGTAATTCGGGCCAGGGCTCCTCCATGTAATTAAGACCTAAGCCCTATTTGATGATGGTGAGTGACGAAAAAGGTCATCCGGATATATAAACCACGGGAGCAAATATTTAGAGCTATATAGTGAAAGCCGTCCCGGGAAGGAACAACTTGCGCACCCAGCTCAGCATGCATGCAAGCCGTGACAGACTACCGAATTAGGCTAAACAGTGATTGGATCGATCACTTGCAATACGACCCGGTGCCAGGGGATTCAAGTCGTCCAATGTTAAATGCGGCGTTTGGTGCATGTCATATGGGCATGACTGGTAGGGCCACAAAGTATGGCACCTCTAAGCCGCCTGAGGATCCGTACCTACGAGAAGAGCATCTGGTCCAAACCAGCAAGGCGGCAACAAGTTCGCGGTCCCCTTCACGCACAAGTTTCTGGCATCGCCTGATAGATTTACCTGGCTGTACTATTTTAGATCTGAACAATCAGCGAAAAACCATTCCTTAGGAGACCGAGCACGCCCTTAGCGAGATTATCTAACGATGAGAACCGGTGCCATAATCAGGTGGGCGGCTAAGTAAAATGAGAAGAAAAAGATGGTTCAGGATACGTATAATAGGGGCAGTTAATACCACTCGGAAGCGCACAAAGGGCCTAGGACAAAGCCAAGGGGTATATATCACGGCAGGTCTCGAGGCAGATGGTTTCATTGTGGAAATTGTTTGCGCTTCCTCCGCAAACCCCAGACACGAAGACGCACTTCTTGGCCCCGCGGTCCCAAGCCCAGTGGGAGGCGTTGGACTCGCAATGACCAAAGGAAGGTAGGTCAAGGCAGAAGTAATTTGAGAAGGCTGTAAACAGATTTTAATTTAATTTGAGGGAGAACATAATAACATGAGCTATGGGCGAGCAATCTCGCTCAGCTCGTCTTTCGGCAACATCAAGCAAGGCCCAACTTAGTGTCTGATGGAGAGTTTAAGTGGGCAATGAATAACGCACTCTGGCTATTACGGAGGTAAAGACATGAGTAAGCCCTTGCCCCGCGGATACCCCGGCGACAATTAGACCAAAACCTAGATGTTTCAGACAGTCGAAGGCGCCACATAGCTATTGGGATACATAAATCTAATTAGACCGAAAACTAGCACGATTTCCTGCTCCCTTCATATCGAATCATGCGCGCACACTCGGCTGGTTCTCCCTGCTTCTTTCAGGATTATATCGTGCACGAAAGATTGCCGGTCTTCACATAAGCCATCATGTATAATTAGGGAGGAATGCCTCCTCTCAGGAGTTGCTTGGGTAAAAGTATTTCCTTACATCAAAGTAAGAGCGGCATCAAGCCTAAAGATAACAAAATCTTGGTGCAAATACGTAGTGCCACCGGCGATGGCTGCGAAGATGTCTAAGTAGAGCCGAATGAGTTGCGCTCGGACCCGAGAAGCCCAAGAAATTACAAGTAATTCCCAGTAAATAAAAGAAATTCGGGACAGCCTTCTGGCCATTAACTCGTAAACCCAAGCTTGTTGGAGAAGATACCGGCCAATTAATGAGGCAAAACTTCACACTCCTAGAAAAAGTGTCGCCCTTGCGAGGGACGAGTCAGGACAGGATCAAATCAAGACTAGACATTGCTCCCGAGAAAACGGTAGTCTTTAAAAGAAGTCAAGAGCACTCGATGGTGGGGTTGTTAGCTCATAACGAACTACCTTGTAGGT